ATTGAAGAAACTTGTCTAAATGAAATGATGGGTTTGATGTTTCCAAATCAATGTTCCATTATAAATATGTACACGAATAAACTTTACACATGCATATATTAATAGTGAAAAATATATTTGGAAACATCAAACCTATCGCATAATTTAGATAAATTTCTTTAATGAACATAGAAGGTCAAATACTTATGGGACTGACTGTAGATTCATATACGACAAACACAAATTTTTCTAATAGGTAGTTTCGCTACAATTAATACTGGAACAAGTAAAATATGGACAGTGTCATGTCAGACGAAAGTGTCTGCCAGTACTGGAGAACAGTTGGTTTTCTCGTGACAATAAAAAGAGTCAAAGGGTTCGGAGTAACGAATCGCCTAGCATACGGAGCAAAAACTGGGATTTAATATTAACTCGAGAGAAGTACGTTGACCGCTAATTACACCGCAATCGAAATGTAAGTGGCCAGCTACGTCGACTAGGTAATTTTATTTGCTCGCGGCGCTGGAAACACCCCAGAAACGATCGCCTACAAGAGACAGTTAATTAAAAGCTAACCGGGGACTTGGAAAAAGTTTCTCTGGATGGTTTTCGAGAGCAAAACGGTGCTCGATGTAAAACCAATGCAACGGAGTCGCGCGTAGTTTCCTCTACAGGTTCGAGGCGATGTTTACGAGTGAGGAGAGACAGATTTCTTTGATAGAAAACGGATTCAAATTAGCCCATTAATAGGAAAGTGAAAGGATACAATTTATAGGATACAAGGTGAATTTACTATATTGACGGTCACAAACGAAAAAGATTATTAATCAAAGGTTCAACTTTACATTCGTGGGTGCAACGAGGTCTGTATTTTTTCTCTTCCATTATGGGATCTCTCGCCTCCCTCCACGACACACTCGGGAAGAAACAACTCTGACGGTGAACTTCCACGGCGTTTTTCCTCGGGGGTAGGTGAACTTTAGCGAAGTGTGATATAGCTTCCAGCGCGATCACGAACGCGCACCAAGTCTTTTCTTCCCTTATTCAGCCGAAAATGGCCGATAGTACCTGGCTCGGGGAGTTTCTGGATTCACCGAACGAGCCCGTTTACTCTCGTTAAGGTGAGTGCCGTGGGGTGATTTACCCTCTTTACTCTGCCGCGACACCGACCCTGGGCTCTCCCGCGGGAGGCAGTCGAAGGGCTCCAGGAGAAAGGGAGTAAAACGAATCGTCCGCCTTACAAGATCCCCTTATCTGTGGCTGGAGCACCAGGAGAGATTGAAAAGTTCTTGCGAGAACGCACCATTCCCCTTTCTCACTTATCGTTACCGTGATAATTCGCAAGCCCGATCGAATTGATTATCGCGTCGCCTCGCCTCTCTCGGCGGATGTTTCCTTCCCTTCGAGGTCAAATGACGGGGAAAAAGATTCCTAATCCCCTATCGCGTAATGCCCTTGACGAGGAACCTGATAAAAAAAAAATATCCGTGTGAAATTCATCGATCGAATTTAAAGGTGGCCATTCCTGTTAGCCTTGCAGGTTCAGAAAGTTTTTGGTAGGTTCGATATTCATTGCAGTGGAGAGTTAATACATTGACAGCAGCTGTCACGTATACGTGACTTCGGTGATACAGCGGTTATAGGTAGACGTCACGTAGATGAGACTCCGCTCGCGCTATCCAGCGCAGTTAGCCTAGTTTATGCAGACCTGTGGCTTCTTTCCTACCCGCGCTCTGACATTTGTTTATTTATATTATACATAGAAACTATTCATGCCTTCCCATGAGTAGTTTGAAGGAAATTTACGTTTCATTTAGATCTTTTATTCGAGGGTATTTCGTCAATTTTGATGAAGGTTTTATACGCGATACATCTTTCAAAAATACTTTCACTTGCTTTTTTCTTTTTTTTTTTTTTTATCAGCAATGTCAGCAATGAAGGGACCTCCAAGCCCTCGAAGTTGGGGTGAAAATAGATTTCTTGATTGATAGGCTGTTCTAGAAATTCTCTTCCATACCGAAAATATGAAACGAATCGAAAACTTGAAATAAGTGCAGGCGACACGCTAAATCGATCACAGAAATAGAAATGATAAATTTGCGAAATTTTAGTGGTCAGGATCGTTTTGAGAAATCACGTTGTACGGCCAGTTATTCTTTATCTGGGCGCCACGTCGCGTGTGAGTCATTGTCGCGATTATAACGACACAGCCGCGAGATATTCGCGTGGACAATGCTACGCGAGGAGCAACCATTAAATACAGTGGTCGCTGGAGGCGGAGGTCAAAGAGAAAAAATACAATGGGCAGGCGACGATTTTATGTAAAGAGTGGTTTAACGAATGGCATTGTTATCATTCCGTGATGAAAAATTGTGGAAGATCTCAAAGCGAATAGGTGGTGGGCGCAGAGGCGTGAGACAGAAAGGAAGGCGCGAGGCGAAGCGAGCACCTGCAGCCAGGGAATCGATAGCTCCTTCGCGATGAACGATGAAAAAAACTGTCTGAATAAGTACTCGTGGTTTCTTTGTCCGCGAAGTTATTCCTCTACCGTCGGTTCAATGGGTCGTGACTTTAGTAAACTCATCTTCGAGGCCCTTGAATAAATACTTGCCTCGTGCATCGAGTTCTTTTAACCTTGGTCGGATCTCGTTTTACTTCCTCGTCAAAAGGGCCCTTGTTTATCGTACCGTGCGAGCGAGCTGTAGACAAAATTACGGTTTTCCTGCAATTAGTTCGACGTTAATTTGTTATCTCTTCCGTGGTTTAGTTCATCGAAGGCAGATACCAAAACTTATTTAAATTGTATAAATCTGTTTGTAATTTTAACCGAACAAATCAGAAGACGCGTGTTTTTTATTCGACCGTTTTTTTCCACCGCGAAATAATTTATTGTGATATTTTTGCCTCCATCGGACCGTCATTTCGGGCATTAATCAAGCGTCATTTTTTCTGCTCCAGATGCGTAAAATAAACGATCAAAGCGTATTTGGAGTTGAACGCGCGCACATTTTCCTAGCCACTCTAATAAATCTCCGATATCGTGAAACGTTTTGTATCAGCGATAGTAACTTCGAGGAATTTATATGTAGAATTAGATTCAAATGAACGCGAATACAGAGATAGGAGGTCAAGCAGCACGCGATATACAATTCTCTTTATTTATCATTTAATCCAAGTGCAGGTAATACCTTAACCAATGGCGCACGAAGATGTCTCGGTTGTTCCAACCGACCTCTGAACCAGGGATGGAAAATTATGACACCTTTATCCATGTTCGAAATGTTAGACTGTTATCGCGCTGAATTTTCTCGATTCGAAAGGAAAACACGAGTTTTGACCGCGTATTAAACACTAGCTAGCCAATGGAGCGACGATGGCATTCGAACAAAATTCGAAACAGTATTAACTTCTTTCATACACGGGGTCGGTTTATTTGTTTCCACAATAATGGCCGCAGGTTGACAGAGAAACGAGATATTATACCGCTCGTGTTTCTACGAATTCAGCTTGTTTGTTCGCGTCTTCGTTTCAGGAAGCTCTTTTCTCCGTAGAGAGCTTCCATCGATATTTTTCCCTCCTTCGAGTGCTCAGTTCTTCGCTCGAATGCGATTTAATCGTATTACCGGTGACTTTATTAATCATCGACAATTAGTGGAAATATTTGCTCCCGACATTACTCTTAGCTCGCAAATGGGAACGATTATTAGCAAACGAGCATCGTTCTCTTTCGCTTTCGCACGGTATTTAGATCTTTCAGCGCAATATTTATCATTTCAACGAGACAAAGGTGCTATCGCTTGTACAGAGGGTTTGTTCGGCAGAGACTTTGGGAGCTCGTTACTGCAGAATGGAAATGGATGACTCGCCCTGGAAAATGCGGAATTATTTTGTAAGATTCGTTCCAGTCGCGTCAATACCTTTGACTTTGGTATACATTTGCCTAATTAGACACGGAATTTATTAACATTTCGCTACATTAAATCCCGTTTATTCGTAAAGAGTATTAATCTAACGTTTCTGCCAGAACGTTTCATCGTTTAAAAGCAGCGCATGGGCGACGATAAAGTTACCCTTAAAAAATGATGTAATCGGAAGATAGTCCCCCGGTTCTTCTCGATCACCCTGCATGTTACAGTTCCTGCAATCACTCCGTACATCGAGACGTGACTGGAAAAAAAAAAAGAAAAAATAATTTGCAGCGAGTGCTCGACACACGTCGCAAAGGTATTTCGAATGAAAGAGGGCAATACGTTGCTGGAGACGAACGTCCCCATCGTTTGTACCTGTTGAGGCGAGTGTGTATACTCTAAGCGTTTCCAAGACGCCGCTCGCGAACGCTGACCATTTCTATCGACTTAAACATCAACTTCCGACGTTGTGTCTCTTACTGGAGAATCTTCGGTACGACAAAAGACTGGGATTGTGGGACTCGCCTTCCAGAATATTATAGCAACTGCAAAGGAATTTTCACGCTTCCTTCAATCTCGACGTCTTTTCCGTGACTGTTGATGTAGTGGACTGTCGATTAACAAGATCTTTTTAATTTCTTGGTTCATGATTCATTTTCGTACTAGATTGCACGTAGTCTCTCCCACGATAAATGGAACATTTGTTTTAAAGAGGAGGATCAAATTGATCGTTACATAGAAGTACACAACGAACTCGATCCTGAAGCTAATCGTCACCCTCGAGAACGAGTTACGAGCACGCATAAAACAAGCAATGAAACAAGCGCTAAGAGCTCAGTCGGGCAAAGATAAGCCGGGGTGTGATAAGGAGAAGGAACAAAAAGAACGTCGCGGGGATGAAAGAAGAGATTTGAAGAGAACGCGGGTGAACGGAGAAGGTGGGTGAAAGGGAAGAGAAGAAGAGGGGTTCTCGCAGGCATCTCGTCAAAAAAGATGAAGTCACCGTGGTTTTGGGGCGGCACAGAGTAGAGGGGTTGGGTTGAGTTCTTCAAGGTAGGGGCATGCGCGGCGTCCGGGGGTGCAGGATGGCGTTGGGGGTTAGTCGCTTGCCAACAACACGACGTGTAGCTCGTGCATCGCGATCGCTCGGTTTACCTGCCACACAAACGTCTTTTCTGCCTGCTCCTCGACGCTTTCGCGCAACCATCGACGCGTCGAGTGCTCTCCGTACGCAGTGACGGGTGGTCGAATACGAAACCGCGCGCGGTTCACCTTTCTTCCGGTTCCCCGCGAGAACTTGGCGCACCGACACTGACAACTGACGGAGAAGAAAGTTTGGATTCGACGATCGAATGTGCGCCCCTCGATTTTGTGTGTTTTCGCGCCCGTGAAACGGACACTTCGCCTCCAAAGTGCTCGTTAGAGGGGTTCCGAGGTTTTCCTGAGAGTTTCCACGAGAGCCAGACCGGAAGGATCGAGGATCTTCCGCGAAGGAAAATGCTTCACTTTGAACTCGTGCAACCGGAAAGCGTGGCCGTCGGAGGATCCTGGTGACGCACATCGGAGATGGACAACACTTCTTTAGAATTATAAACTAATGGAAACGTAGCGATATATTCTCTACGTTCATCGCGTTGAAGAGTTGCGTGGATTAGCTTGCATAATGTTATTTTGTTCTAATACCCATTCAAAGTAACGCGTGATTAATTTACGAAATTTTCTTGCGACGATTAAATATTATTTGATTCTTCGATCGCGCTTTCAATTAATTAATTAAGCTTATCGGGAGAAACTCACATTTACTCAACGTCGAAAATAATTTCATTTCATAATTCAGACTGGTAATTTTCGATATTGTTTTGTTCTAGCATGTTTGCACAATAACATATGGAAAATTTGCGAAACTGTTCTGGAAAACAGTAACAGAAATAATATTTGGCTTCCTCATAAACCATGCTTTTGAATTTAATTAATCAAACTTGTTCAAATATGGTTTTAATCGTTCGATGTGGAATTTAATTTAATTTCAGAGATACGCGTGAAACACGCTTTTTCTTTCATTCTTTAATATGAACTCTTGGTTCATCCGATAAATTTGTCCATTTCTGGTGGCGGAGCGAACCGATCTCGAGAAGAAGGTGCTCGTGGACGGAGGTGTTTGTGGAATTTCGCGTGGGATCTTCCTCGATCGGACGATTGATTTGCCATCTTGTGCATGACACAACAAAGGTGTGATGCAAGTGGACCGGATGTCACCGCGATATTACTGCAACGTGTTACCGTCACTGCAGTGAACGACGCAAAAAAGTGCGCGTAACTTCGATCAGGCTCGCACAAGGCTGCATTCCGTCGCTTTTTGGATCTTACGCCCCGCAAAGGGCCATCGACCAGAAAGAGAACGAAGGTACGACTACTCTGTAGCGAATTTTCGACTGGGAACGCGGCACGATTGAAGCGGCTAGCATGCTTTGTAACAAGACCAGCGCGTAGTGTATTCCTTTGACGAAACTCTTAAGCGTTCCGAACTTAGCTTTGGAAACAAGCTGGGTTTTCTCTCTAGCGTCGACCATGGCAATGCCAAACGCATTTATACGGTAATTAAAGTTAGGTTTAAAAGCAGCTTTCGACTATACCTCTCCATTGAGCTACCTACTCTCCTATTGCTGGACGATACAGGATGGCAATCGCAGCACAACTGGAAAAGAGATCTTCGTTCAAACGCAAATAGGAAACGCAGAATAATATTTTTTTAAATCTACAGCACATGTTTTTACATAGTATTTTACTAACGAATACCACGATATTTTTTGCTTGAGAATTTTTAATCTTTGGCATTGACAGCAAATCCAATTCAGGTTTCATTATTCGCCTATAAAGTAGCCCAATTTTTCGATGGAATTCCATTTTATCAAAAATGAATCTAGGGTAACTTCATAACGGACAGCTCGTACGTACTCATATACAATGTTGCGTGCACGTAACATCACGTTCGTTACGTTGTTGATACTTGCATTAGTCGTCAAACTCGGGCAAATATTTTGCGTAATGCTGGCGTATATTGTCACTAATTATAGAACTTTGTTTCCCGCGTAACAATGGGATCGCTTTATTTGTATGACTAATATGCGCGACCTCGTGCGTCAATACACAATGGTTTTCAGTTGGTTTCGCGATTTCATTTCGAATTTCTGTCTCCTAGCTAGACTGATTGAAAGAAGGGATTGTATAATTCGATCAAGTTCTCTGTTTAATGTGAATCCTAAAAATAGTATAAAAATAACAAACGACGGTGTATTGAATAGATCAACAAGTAAAGTCTCGAGGGTTGAAAGCTGAAGCCCCATTCGTTTCGCGGCTATCGGAGGATCTAGCATCAAATTTTTCCGTCAAATAAGCAGCCCACTCTCCTTGCTGAATAAGCTAGGCTTTCGAAAAATTTATGTACACTTCGGAGAGGATTTCTCTGATTACGAAATTGAATTGGCCTGGGCTTTCTACGCGTCATAGCGAGCGAAACTAAAAACGGGCTGCGCTTGATCGAATACCTTCGAATTCTCAGGGACAAAAGATAGTTTACTTTTAGCGCGTTACAATATTTGCCCTGCACTTCTACGGTTCCCCAATTCTGTTTCGCTTCGATTCGCAATAGACTTCCCGCGCGTCCACTGTAAAAGGGGCAGAAGAAATTCGTGCAAGTCTAGTATTATTTATACAGCGTCCCATGGGTTTTCCGTATAAACTCATCCAGCGTGTTCCGTGACTAAAAAGAGTACGAGTACGTCGTACAAAAATGAATCCACGAATGCTTTATTAGAAACTTGGAACAGAAATATAGAATTACACACAGTTGAAAGTAATATACTTTCGTTGTTTGAGAACGTCTGTACGTGAAAATCCTTATCTCTTGTTTAATCCGGATAATCGAGGTTCTCTTGTGCATCTATATTTTCAAATAAATTCTAGCTTGTTTCTCCTTTACTCCATGTAATACTTCTTCAGAGGAGAACAACATAATTGGTTCTTTGAGGGCAAAAACAGATGCTGTTATAAATGAAAGAATTTCATAAGAATTCCCTATCTATATAAAGAACGAAGATAAAAATCTAACAATCGTGTTACATCGCAATATCTCGAAATATCATCTGTACCATATTTACGCGGCTACCAATTTGTAGGAAATGGATCGCGTTATCTACGTAAAGTATCTATTTTTCATTTCAATTAAGGAAACAAACTGCGCGCCAACCAATGGGAATTGTTTACCATGTTCCTTTGGGAGGGATCCGTCAGTTTGACATCGATATGTGCGAGCATCGCGTGTTGTTGTCCTTTTCGCTGGAATCGAGCAAGTGGCGTACCCGTACATTAAATGCTCGAATTAATTGAAACGAAGGCAGTCGTTCGTGCGGCGTTTCGCGCTTAGGATCTCGATGTGCTTTTCGTCCGGGTCGATTTTATTCCGGTGTGCTCGATAAATACCGTAATCTCGAGTCATGGCAGCGCAATTACCGTGAAACGTTAGGAGGGACACTCGCCCGTGTAATTTGGTGTGGATCGTTCCCGTAATTCTTCCTTCGTGCGTGACGCGAAGTACGGCGAGGGGTTGGACGACGAAAGGGGGCTGTCTTCGAAAACATTATAACTGAGAAACTCAATCCAATTGTTTCCGACGTAATATGTAATCAGCCGCATGATTCTTGTCTGCTAGATCTACGGCTCCTAACCTGGCTATTTTATGCAATCTTATCTCTTCCTCTTCGTGGCGCGATTTGCAAGAAACCAAATTAAGAGTGCATTTCGTTAAAAGCGTTACTGTTTAGATTAGCTCTTGAGTGTGTAATCTAGAACGCTTACACAAAGATCAGAATAAATAGGAATGGAATGAAACTGATAGGATGTTGAAATTATCCGTGTGAACTGTTTCGAACTGTAATTATTCAGATTAACATCGCGTGAAATACACGATGGCATGTTTAACTTAAATCCTAAGCATACACTGATACGAAACGTGTTCAGTGTGTCAACATACATGGATCACGGAATAACAATAGATTTAATCTTTCGTTAGCGGGGAACACTGGCCTCGTGTAATTTGGTGAGATCGTTTCCGTAATTCTTCTTTCGTGCGTGACGCGAATCATAGCGTCGGGGGTTGGTCGAAGAGACAGGGGTAGAAGCAATTGGAGAGGCCCACTTTTCCCAGACGGAAGTTTTGCTCGATGCCGGTGTTTCGCGCGGATTATCATTCCGCGGGGCGAAACGACAGCAGCACAGGCGGGATTTCGAGCATAACGGCCACTCGAGCCGGCCGATTCGCTGGCAGTCGACAATTCATCTTCATTCCCGAAGCGTAATTTCGGCAATTGCTTTCTATCGATCGAACGGGCCTGGTTATTTCGAAATACAGAGAACGTTTCGTACACCGCTGAATGCACAACACCCGAAAGAGGAGATTACGCCACCGCTTGTTCTACGACGAGCTTAGAAACAATGGCTCCCGCGAAGCGTTTTCGAAGCGCTGCCAGGCCCGGGGATGTTCGCTGATTTTTCGACGGCCGCGCAAATATATTGCTCGCTAATTGCGAATAACGCGGAAACTTAATTAGCGCGCTCGTATCGCCAAGCTATTTTGTGTACGTCGACCCTCCGGAGCTTCCTTGTTATACGAGCGTCCAGTTCTCTCGGTTCTGTTGCCTCCTGGCGATCGCTTAAATCATATTCACGGATGATTTCGATCGAGCATTTCGAGCCTCATTTTCCAGACATCCTGCATAATTCGTATACCGTGGAGAGAAGTAATTACAAATTGCTAGTCAATTTTCCACTCCATCATGACAAATTGCGACGAGAGTAAAAGTTTCACGTTTCAGTGTTTAAAGGATCTTACTCTGGTTATATCTGCTCGCGCGATTAAATAAAGCAGGATTAGGAAAGAATTAATCGCTAGAATTTTAAAATTAGCGCAGGTCGTAATTCCAATTAAGAAACGCGGTAGGTACACCCGCCAGAGGAAGATGTGAATGTTTTACTTTGTTGTAAGCTTTCTGTGTGTATAATGCTAAACCGTGTTGTTTCTTTATCCCCAGAGTGCACAATTGAAATGTTGCCCGACAGACCGAATGAACTGCAATCGCAGTCAAGCGCGTTGTAGTTTGCAGTGGTTGGATTTTTAAAAGAAAAATAAAGCTGGTATACAGTATTCTACGTATAGCTGAAGGGACTTTTTCCTGGAGATATTTAACAATTTTTTTCCTGGACAACTGAAATGCAAACTGCCTGCCACTTTATATTTATTCACCGTTGGCGACCCGTCAACTTGAGCTGCCAACGTATAAAAGAATATTATATTCCTTGGCCACAAAAGTTGCGTCGCAGCATATCATAGATACAAATTTAGTTTTAAATTCTATGGAACAATACTTCCACGTCCGTTAATTTTCGACCTGTTTTTATCCGAAATAAATGTTTCTTTTCTTTTAAATTATATTAAAAAATCCTCTCGATACGAGAGTATTCTTTTTTTTTTGCATTTTCATCACTGTTTATTTGGCTCGAAAATCGACGTGAAATCCTGGAGGACTCGATGAATCGACGACGCTACGCCTGTTCTTTCGTGGCGACCTCGCAATTACAGTGTTAATTAAACGTGGGGAATAGCTCGAGCCTGTAATAACTGCTAATCCCGTATTATTACTGGACATCGATTATAACAGTTTGGGAACGTGACGCGCGACTATGTCTAAATTGAATTAATATAATGCGTAGGCAGCTTGGCGGAAGCTCGTGTGGCGAAGAGGATGAAAGGGATGGGAGAGAGGTGAACGATATCTGTTTCTGGGACTATCGGTATTGACGCGATTGCGGAAGAGGGGCAATGGATAGATAATTAATTACTTTTATTACAATTAGTCGAGCGCTATGCAGACGACTCCGCGTGTCGACAATTTAGCCACTTTGTTAATTGCGATTCCATTTATCGACGTTTGCGTCAGGGTCTCTAACGAAAGAGGTCTCCAGCGAAAATTTAAGAGGTACAGTTTTATTAATTGCAGGAGGACTTCAATTCAAACTCGAGGACCCAACTGAAATCCACGTTCTTCTGAGTTTTGTTTAAAGAAAATGATTTCACCTATCAGTTTCACACTTTCCTTGTGTCTTGCGTGAAATCTGGTAACCTTTTGACTGGAAATGGAGAACCTTCGCGGACAACAGAGAAATGTTCACTGTAATGTTCACGCGTTGAAAAATTCCAATTCGTTTTAAAGTTTGGTGTACAGAATCGAAGAGTGTACATAACTCGACGAAGAGTTTGCCAACTTTTTGAGTTCTGTCATAATGCTTCGCAAGCATATTCCGAAGACTTCAAATTTTCAGAAAGGACGAAGAAATCGTTTTCCTATGTTC